AAATGAAAATGCATGGTTTACAAATTCTAAAAGTAACTACAGATAGATATATTTGAGATCCGATTTGGGTAAATTATATTTTACAATTATTGAAAATATTTATATAATTTTAAACACGGCATTTATTTGACCTTTTCTTCACCTGGGTCCGGTCACTGGGTCATAATACACTGCATAAACTTACTGGGTCCTATTCTATTATTATAATAAGGCATGTGCTTTAAGGGCTGAAGCTAAGAGCTTCCTCCAGCTTAAGGGAGAACGAGCGAGAAAAATAGGGTTTAATGTACACAGCAGTTGACTCAATGACAGACCTTATGATACAGCGTACAACTGCTAACCATTCGGACATCCAACCTCTCCCCCTCCCCCAGCTTAATGGCCTACGCAGATTAAGTGAAAAGTAAATTTATTTGTGAATGCTGAATCAAAATATAAACTACTCTAAATAACAAAAAAAAAGATTCAATTAATATAGATGTATATGCTTGTAGTAAACATACCATCAATCCGATTAAAACACAGATCCTATTTCGTTTCGTTTTTTATACTTCAAAATTTCGTTTTACTTGTCTTCACAACACTATGATCTGAAAGATTTGTTGTATAACCCACGTTCTGGTTGAAGTGAGGGATTAGCCAATAAAATGGTCTGTTATGGCGAGTTTTTGGCTTGAGGTGCACCTTGAGGTGCACGGAACTGTGGGCAACCCAATAGAAACATCAACGCTGATTGGTTAATCAAATTTCTGACATCATAGGGTCAAAAGCCGCTTGTATGACCTCTGACTTGACCTTCCGCTACAACCGGGCAGATCTTCATGAAGTGTAGGCCATCGAAAGTATAAAAAAACGAAACGAAATAAAAATCTGTATTTAAATCAGACTGACATAACCTGTCAATATGATACATTGTACTGTATACTACAGTAAGCTGGTGACCATAATGACTAGTAGCGAAAAGACTAAACATACAATTATGTTAATAATATGTACATGTATTCGGCTCTAAAGATACAATAAAATCTTATCTTAACTGTCTTTCTGGTCCCGGCCGAGAAAGTTCATCGAGATTTTCCGGCGTGGTTTCCCCTTGTCAGGGGTGCAGGAAGGAAGGCCTGACGAGAACAGCTGTCTAGTCGTTCGGATGGAACGAAAAAACAAGGTCCCATGTATACATTGCCGTGCTTGTAAAAGATTCCTTGGCAGTTGGAATTTGATATAAGAGTAGCCATAGTGCCGCTGCCCGGGCAAAATTTCCCTCATAGCACACTGTGTGGCGTATGTCCGTCTTCATTAGCCCAGTAGGAGCAGAACAGTAGGACGTTACACCCCATTTCATTTCACTTCATTTCTGTTGCCACAGAGTACCTGTAGTCCAAAGGCCTATAAAATCTAAATCTAGCTCTGATGACCACAGTAAGATGGTGACCATAGCAACCAGTAGCGAATGGGTTAAATATACAATTTATTGTAATAAGCACTGTACTTTAACTAAAACATAAAAATTTATAGCTATATATAATAAGATTCAGTCTGGTTATAACACAGATCCTATTTTGTTTCGTTTTTTATAGTTTAAAATTTCGTTTGACGTGTTCTGGATGGTGTTAGGGATTAGCCAATGAAACGGTCTGTTACGGTGAGCTTTAGGCGTGTTTTGCCCGGAACTGTGGGTAATCCATTAGAAACATCAACGCTGATTGGTTAATCAAATGTCTGACGTTATAGGGTCAAAAGCTACTCTATGACCTCTGACGCGACCTATCGCTACAACCGGTCAGATCTTCATGTAGTGTAGGCCATCGAAAGTATAAAAAAACGAAACGAAATATAGATCTGTATTTTATCAGATATAATAAGATGAGGACTGTACAAAAAGAATACATTTTGCCCACATTAATTTATTATTTAAATAAGCTCATCCAGACTGTCAGCAAGGAAAAATTTGCACCAATAAGGAATGTAACACAACACAAAAATTAACAAAGTTTATACATATATATATATGAACATGATTTAAAGCTGAACTCCGATTAAAAAACTACAGAAATAATTAAATTTAAAAAAAGTTAACACCCTCAACAATCACCATACTTGTTTTCAATTTGTATAACAAACATGGCAATTGTATGGCGTACAAAAACAGAGACAGGCCACGTCCACATCCAGTATGTGCCTTGTCAACCACAGACAAGGCCTGTCTGTTTTTGTATGTCGTACAATCGCTATGTTTGTTCCACAAATTGAAAACAAATATGGCTATTGTTGAGGGCGATAACTTTTTTTTTATTTAATTATTTCTGTGGTTTTGTAATTAGAGTTCATCTTTAACTGTTTCTTCTAATATTCTTATTTCTTTACATGAGATTCGTTAAAGCTAAACATTTGCATCCTTCATCTGAGGGCATTTATACATACAATTAGTAGCCTAGTTTACAAATTCATAAACAAACCAAGCAACTGAAACAGCATATTATGGTTAGACATTAAGATCTGTCCATCCATCATACAAACTGCGTGTTGCATGTGTAGTAAACAAGGGTTTGGGGTCAGGTAATGTATAGCTACAAGCAACAAAAAAAAATGGTGGACAGATTCTGAATCTCTCCTTTATTTCTAACATAAAAAACAAATCTACATCAAATACCCATCTTTACACTGTCAAGGGTGTATAAAACTTTTCACACTTGTCAATCGTGAAGATGATCAAAAAGTGGTATTTTTTCATTAACTGTCTCATTCACATCATCATTCAAAAATAGCTTCAGCTATCAGACAGGGGCCTTATTCAAGTAATCTTAAATTAAAATATCTTTAGGATACAGCCTTTTCATTGGTTGTGAGTTTAAATTTACCACTTGATCAATAAAAAGGCAGCAGTCTTGTGAATAAGGCCCCAGTCTGATAGCAGCTACACATTATTGCTAATTTTGTCATGATTAAATTTAAAATCTTCTATAAGGTTTATACAACAATATTTTATGACATAACATAAGTTTAATATTATAAAGTAAGTACCTCCATATAAACATATATATTTATAATTACATCTTATATTAATTACATATTATTATTATACATAGTATGTTGTTATTAAAATTCAGAAGTAGTATATCCATATATACTAGTTTAAATATAGATCTTAAAGAGACTGATCTTTTAGAGTCATTTAAAATACAGATGTGACATCATCCTTTGATGTTGGCGTACCACTATTTCTAATAATGTATGGGCAACTTTCCAATCGTACATTATCTATACTAGATGAAATATTGGACTCGCGTGACGTATTTCATTGCAAAGCACATTCGAGTGTCTGTATTTGAAATTGTTTAATGGTCTCGAGTTTAAGACATTGCGTGATATATTGAAACAACAACTCGGGACCACGTATTTCATTGAAAAGCATGTGCAGGATAGTGTCTGTATTTTAAGTTGTTTAATGGTCTTGAGCTAAAGACATTGCGTAATATATTGAAACAACACTCGGCTAACGCCTCGTGCAGTATCAATATATTACTTAATGTCTGGCTCTCGACCATTAAACCATACTTAGTAACTGGATAGAGCAATAAACTTGTTGTTGTCATGCATGGTTTCTGATTTGTTGTTACTGCTTGTCTATATATAATTGCCCTACACATTTGTTACTGTACTTGCTTGATAACGTTGAGAGAATACTCTTCGAAACGTCGCCTAAAAAAATCAGTAATTGTTCTTCTATAAGTATGTGTTATAGTTTATTGCTAAAGAGACTGTTTCGCTTTTCTATTCTTGTCTAACAGAGTTAAATTATATCCATTTTTAGTGGACTAAGAGCCTCTTTCTTCAAGACTATAATGCTAATATAATGCTACATATGGTTGACTATGCAAAACATGAAAAAACTTGTGAAGATAAAAAACAAACTAGAATGAATCAAAATCCACAAATACACAGGGCCACCTCACACCCTGCCTTTTGGCCAAGAATTCCCAACTTTTGTATTAATTTCATGCAGATAAAAAATTAAGGTTTTGCAGAAATTGCATGTAATTACGGTAATACTGGTCTATTTTATTTTACAATCAAAAATACTTCATTATAATCCATTGAATTGAAAGACTAAATAATCACAGCTATATATATATACTATTTGCCACAAAAATGAATTTTATTATATGCTATACAGATAAATAAGTACTTCATGAAATACAGAGAGAGAAATGGGTTTTAACTCCACTCAACACAAACCAGGTCATTTCGAGACTAACATATGGTTCAATTTTATTTCAATAATTTGCTTGGACGTATGTGTAGGGGTCTTTAGCTGTGGGAGGAAACTGGAGGACATGGAGAAAACCCACGAGGTTGGACAGACAACCCTACTCTTTGTGATGTACAACCGCGGAATCGAAACCATGTCAGTTGACTCAAGAACAGTACTCATGATACAGCGCGCACGCGCTAACCATTTGGTCGGCTACCCCCCCACCCATAAACGACGAACATTTCAATAATTCGCTTGCGTGTAAGGGTCTTTAGCGATGGGAGGAAACCGGAGGACCCGGGGGAAAACCCATGAGGTTGGACAGGCAACCCTACTCTTTGTCACGTACAACCGCGGAATCGAAACCACGCCAGTTGACTCAATGACAGACCTTATGATACTTCACGCACGCGCTAACCATTTGGCCATCCACACCCCCCCTATAAACGATGAACAGATACAGAAATATTATAAGTCTTAATCTTAACCTCTATGACAGAAACCTTGGTTCTATTGGTAAACTTTGTGATACCACTTTGTTCAGTGATACCGTTTATCCGATAGATTATGAATAATTAAATAAGTCACATTTGTCTTGTCCGTAAAGCAGTGGACACACTAGCCGAATCATATTATCAGTGCCAAATTTTATTCGGCCGAATGGGTGAACACACTAGGTGAATGTTTCGCCCAATTCACCAGTCGATTGCATCACCTTTCATGTCACATGATTAAACATGGCGGCGTCTATGTCTTCAAACGATCACGTGACTTCTAAATATGAGCGGATGATGAGTGGTGATTGGCTAATGAATTTTTCAATCGGGTAAATGCTTCGGCGAAGCGGACACACTAGTCGAATATAATTCGGCCGAATATATCAAACATGTTTGATTCGGCCAGATTGAAAGACAGTGGACAGACTAAGCGAATTTCGACGTAGATTGATTCGGCCAAACGACTTGTCTCTTGTTCATAAGTAGATCATGAGGTGCTTAGTGTGATTATGTGTTGGTCTGTTCTCAAGGGTTCAATGGTTGTGTTAGTGCAACATAAAAAGTCTAATCTTTGAGAGGCATTTAGTAACTGGATAGAACAATAAACTATAAAACATACTTATGGAAAAACAGCTACTTATTTAGCTTGATAACGTTGAGAGAATACTCTTCGAAACGTCGCCCAAATAAATAAGTAGCTGTTTTTCCATAAGTATGTGTTATAGTTTATAAAAAGTCTAGTTTTGTTTTTATACAATGATATGTGAAAAACAGAGCTAAGCCAAGATGAACTGAAAGATACGTCTATAAACCAAACTGATTACAGTAAATATATATATATAATATATACAATTCTCCACTATGCATAAAGTCAAACCAAACAAATCTATTTACAAATTCTTAACAACAGCAATATTTTTACAAATATTAAACAACAAACTATTTAAAAAACCAAACCTCTTTCATTCAAATGTTAAAGGTCCAGTAGACAGAATTCTAATTTTATATCTTAATTACTAGATCTTTCATATGTCGAAAATAAATGTTGTTATATGATGACAATGTCCATTTTCAGGCATAAATTTTTCCATCTTGCAAAAGACAAAAAAAAGTAAACATACAACTTCATAGAAGGAGGGGCAGATTGGCCATATCAGCATGTGGGCCAAACCAGGTCGATAGGGTAATAAATGGGCTGTTGGGTTGAAAAACAATGAATAAATATTTGGTACTTAGAAATTCAAAGGTAATTTTGAGACTATATACATATATTAAAATATATAATTTCAATGCGAGTTATTGAGCCACAGGAAAATGCACAACCATAGTTTAATATTGCTACAAATATTTAAAAAAAAAAAAATATTTCAAAAATAATCTGAAGATTTTTTAACATGAATACTTTAATGGTAAGGATGGCATCAGTTCAGGGTTCGTTTTGGATCCAAATATCATATTATGTACGGCAATGATTTAGATTTAGTCATATATTAAATAAATCAAATGGTGAAAGAAGTTAAGCTTAGCTTATGTCATCCTACGACGCGATAAAACTGATGGTGACTAATAGCAACTGAGAGCTTATGTCGCTACAACTAAATTTATCCATGACTGGACGCAACCATAGTCCTAAGCGCACTCATGTCGCCTGGTGTCAGTTGCAGAATCCGAGCCATAACTGATCACATGACCGCCACGTGATAACCCTCAAAATGGCCTCATTCCACTTGTCCGCCATGTTTGTTACCAACCCCTGGGTACCACATGACTAAATAACCGAAACGTATTGGCTACCTCAGCAAGGCGAGGACCCAAGGCTGTCGTAGCGCTTGCGCTTGCGACTAGGACAACTAGTTGTCTCCAGTCGTCGGAGTAGAACATGTGCGACTCCGAGTAACTGGAGGCGACTGGACGAGGACTGGGTGCCGTTCGACTTACACGAGTCGTAAGAGCGCTCAGGTTGCCCAGGTAGTCACGACTGATCAGTTCTACGTGATCGTAAACCAGTCGCCGATTTCGAGCCACTGTCAGTTTTGTCTTGTGGTAGGGCATAAGCTAGACTTAAGAGTATGGATGTCGACATGTCCCAGTTTTGTTTGCGGAATACATGTATATCTTATAAACTGTTTCAATATATTATTATGAAATTTTGTACATAGACCAACCTACTATAATACATGTTCTGGTTCTGTTTGCAGAGTATATCTTATAAACTGTTCAATATATTATTATGAAGCTTTGTACACAGATCAACCTACTATATGGATATTGACATGTTCTGGGTTTGTTTGCAGAGTATATCTTATAAACTGTTTCAATAATATTATTATGAAATGTTGTACATAGATCAACCTACTATAATATATGGATATTGACATGTTCTGGTTCTGTTTGCTGAGTATATCTTTTAAACTGTTCAATATATCATTATGAAGCTTTGTACATACATTTACCTATTATAATACCTGTGACTTTTGCTGATTATAAACTTCTAAGATTTAATACATTTTGTGTTTCCATGGAAACAAATTTGACTTCAAGAATACCTATTAAAAATTGTGCCGCCTGTTTCTTTGGGGGAATATATAAACTAAACGAATAACAAAAGGTGCGTGGTTGCTCCTCTCAAAATCTTTTAGTTTAAAATTTTTAAGTTTTGAAATTTTAATAGAAATATCAATCATGAATGTTGACTAGCTATCTATTTATCAACACCCTGAATAAATAAAACTTTAATGAGAGAGAGAGAGAGTCATTTCTGGAATAACATATGTTTCAATTTTATATCCATCCCCCTATTGGCCTTATGAGAAATATTATTCCAATCTCATATCTTTATATTGAAATCTGAGAATATAGATACCAGTACTAAACTACTTTGTTTTTCATTTCTTGTATACTTTGTAAGATTCTATTCCAATGATCCGTGTTATATATTCCTAGTTTTAGAAGATCTGTAGTGGTCAAGTCTATAACTTTAGACACTGTTTCCCAGCCTTTCTTTTGGAATGCTTTGAAATATTCTTCCAGTCCCAAACCACACAGCCACTCGTATGTGGTTTTAGGTTTCATTAATTCAGCATACGCTGGTTTCTTCTCTAATTTATCAATCTACAAAAAAATAAAACAATATTAGTTACTGCAGAGAGAGAGACGGAGAGCGAGAGAGAGAGAGGGAAGAGAGAGAGAGAGGGAGGGAGAGACCAAGACACAAACTAGGTCATTTCAGGACTAACACATAGTCCAATTTCATTTCAATAATTTGCTTGCACGTTGGGCGTCTTTAGGAGTGGGAGGAAACCAGAGGACCCAGAGAAAACCCACGAGGTTGGACAGGCGACCCTACTTCTTGTCACGTACAACCAGATCTATATTTTGTTTCGTGTTTTTATGGCCTCTACTACATGAAGATCTGACCAGTTGTAGTTGAAGGTTGCGTCAGGGGTCATTCGAGTGGCTTTTGACCCTATGATTAACCAATCAGTGTTGATGTTTCTAGTGGGATACCCACAGTTCCGTGCACCACACACCAAGAACTTGCCGTAACGGATTGTTTCAATGGCTAATCCGTCACATCAATCAGAATGCGGGTTATATAACAAATCTTCCAGATCCTAGCGTAGTTAAGACAAGAAAACGGAATTTGAACAATAAAAAACAAAACGCAGTAATAATCTTGTGTTTAAATCAACGCCGGATTAACCATGGTGGGGGCAACTGGGGCCTGGAACATGTGGGGGGCCCCTCATCACCCCCCGGGAATTTTTCAGAAATTGGAGGCCGGAAACGTGTATTCCTGGCATTTCACGCACTAGTGTGGAGCCATTTAGAAGTACCTACCCCAGAAAAAAATAAAATTCTGCCACAAAATTAGCGCATTCTGGCTTTATTTCAGTGGACCAATCAATGCGAGTGCTATGAAATGATGGCATTTCTAGAGGAGGGGGCTGGACCCAACTGAGATTGGCTTTGATCCGATTGGTTGATGAGATAAACGTCTCACCTGACCTCTTTTTCATTGACAGGTGTTTAAACCTGTTAAGTGATGAAAACTGTGAAATAAATCTAACTTAAAGGAGCTTAATCACTAATATTTGGGACCTAGATATTGACACAAATGGGTTGCAACGTATATAATAATGTAGTATGACTGTATATAAACTGATTTACATTCAATCGTTTCTGTTTTTACTCTAATTTCAAATCAGTTATATTTGGCAAAATATGCCAGAAGACTCGATCAAATGGCAATCTCTAGCGTCCAGTTATTCCAGACTACACCGAGAGCATTTATTGTGAATGCTCTCCAGATAAGAATATAGCGTCATCGTTTGACATGATTTGTGGAATATGTCTAGCCTCGTCCTTTCAGTCCCTTGTTACAAATGGCGCTGAAATGCATTATGGTACTTGAATCGTGTACCAATGGTATAATGTTTATTATGTCTTAAATATTGGATATCACAAGCCCATCTTTTTTCGGGAAGATTACAACATCAATGTTGATTTAAATTGACAAATAATTTGTGTTTTCAATGTCGAAGACATTGGATGATATTGAGTTAGAGACTTAGCTACTTTAAAGTATGCTTTCTGGAGATTAATAATAAATTTCCTCATAAAAGAATAAAGAGAGAGGGAGAGAGAGAGAGAGGGAGAGAGAGATGGGGTTTAACATCCACTCGACACAAACTAGATCATTTCGGGACCAACACATGGTTGTATTTTATTTCATTAATTCTCTTGCGCGTTGGGAGTCTTTAGCAGTGGGAGGAATCCAGAGGAACCGAAGAAAACCCACGAGATTGGACAGACGACCCTACTCCTTGTCACGTACAATCAAGGAATCGAATCCACGCCAGTTGACTCAATGACAGACCTTATGATACAGCGTGTCATTCGGCCATCCAACCCCCCTAATATAAGAAAAAGAACTCACTATGGAAGGTTTTGTTTTACGTGGAAGTGGTGGAGGTATCCCAGTAGGACAGTTAATGTAACTTGGTACCGCTCCAGCAGGACTTGTCGTTGTTAATACACCACCCAATAAAATAGGTTCCGTTGATTTTAAAACTCCAGGATTCACCGTTGTGGCTACAACTGGCATTACTTGTCTTTGTGCAGCCTGCAAACTAGATTGACCCATAATGGGTTTTGGCCGTCTTGACATTGACACAGGGCTATTAGAACCAGTCACTCCATTGGATGATTTAGCCATTGCTCCATTATTGGACCAATGAGAATCGCTATCACTTCCACTGTTTGATAATATATTGTTGACTAATACTTCGTCGGCACTTACAACATTTTTTCGAGATGTTGCCATAGGGGAAAATGTACGATTTGAAACGACTTTAAGAGACGCTTCTTGCCGTCTCTCAAAAAATGGTGCATTAGGTAGCCATTCTTCAGGATCATGATATTCTGTATCCAAAGAAACAAGTTCTGTAAATAGAGAGAGAGTTTTCATACTTTAATCTGCATGTATTCTTTCCGACAATATTAAATTTTTAATTGCCTGATCCTCGGTTTAATGGGGCATTATGGGAGATTAGATAAAGAGCTTACAGTTCTCGCTATAATAGGGGTCTTTAGCAGTGGGAGGAAACTGGAGGACTCAGAGAAAACCAACGGGGATGGACAAGCGGCCCTACTCCTTGTAACATATTATGGTTCAATTTTTTTTTTCAATAATTCGCTTGTGCGAAGGAGTCTTTAGCAGTGGGAGGAAACCGGAGGACCCGGAGAAAACCCACAGGGTTGGACAAGTGACCCTAATTCTTGTCATGTACAACCTGGGAATCGAAACCATGCCAGTTGACTCAATGACAGACCTTATGATACAGCATGCACATGCTAACCATTTGGCCATCCAGCCCCCCTTATTTCAATAATTTACTTGACAAAGGTCATAAAAGGAAGAGTGCCAGATATATATCTTAGTGAATTTGTTAATTTAGGATAAAGACTCTTGTTAAACTTTTATCCTAGTCTTATGCAAATATCTGAAACATTTTAATACTTTATTAAATGAAATGAAATGAAATGAAATGAAATTTAACGTCCTACTTTTCTGCTCCTAACCTGGGCTAATGAAGACGGGCATACGCCATACAGTGTGCTATGAGGGAAATTTTGCCCGGACAGCGGCACTACGGCCTACTCTTATATCGAATTCCAACTGCCAAGGGATCTTTTACGTGCACGCCAATGTGTACACGGGACCTCGGTTTTTCGTCCCATCCGAACGACTAGACAGCTTTCCTTGTCAGCCCCTCCGTCCTGCATCACTGACAAGGGAGAACCACGCCGGAAAATCTGGATGAACTTTCTCGGCCAATGCAGGGATTGAACACCCGACCTCCAGGCTAGCGAGCTAGCATCTTACCCACTTAGCCACGTGATCCCCTTACTTTATTAAAAGGAATGGAAACTTTCAGTTTTCGTATGGGTTAGGTATATCACAGGAAATATTTAATAAGTAAAATAATAAACCTACCATAGGATTTCTTAGGAATTATTTAATAACTTCTTTAAGTAGCATTTAAATAGTGTTAGTGAGTATTTAATAACTTCTTTAAGTAGCATTTAAATAGTGTTAGTGAGTATTTAATAACTTCTTTAAGTAGCATTTAAATAGTGTTAGTGAGTATTTAATAACTTCTTTAAGTAGCATTTAAATAGTGTTAGTGAGTATTTAATAACTTCTTTAAGTAGCATTTAAATAGTGTTAGTGAGTATTTAATAACTTCTTTAAGTAGCATTTAAATAGTGTTAGTGAGTATTTAATAACTTCTTTAAGTAGCATTTAAATAGTGTTAGTGAGTATTTAATAACTTCTTTAAGTAGCATTTAAATAGTGTTAGTGAGTATTTAATAACTTCTTTAAGTAGCATTTAAATAGTGTTAGTGAGTATTTAATAACTTCTTTAAGTAGCATTTAAATAGTGTTAGTGAGTATTTAATAACTAAAATAATAAACCTACCATAAGATTTCTTAGATTTATGAGATTTGTATGAAGCAGCTACAGCAATGAACATTTCACCTCTACAATGTTAACAAAAAATATGCATTATCATCATCATAAGTAATATTAAATTCGTTGCTTGGGGAATATCATCTTTACTTTATTATCTTACTTTCATGTCACTGAGATCCGATCTTGCCTGTACTGTACAGGTATTCTTCTACCCATCGTCAGTACTTTCAGTCAGGAGTTTATTCGTCACTGTCCTGGATTTTAGATAATATTCCTTATTCAGTATCACTGAGATCTGATCTTGCCTGCACTGTACAGGGGTTCTTCCTGCCATCAACAGTACTTCCAGTAAGGAGAAGGAGTTAATTTGTCACAGTCCTGGATTTTATTAATATTAAATTCCTTACAACTAATCAGAGAGTGTGACTTAAATCAAACCATGTGGTGAGCTACACAGGTCCATCGGATCACAGGCCCATCAGATAACAGGTCCGTCGGATCACAGGCCCGTCAGATCACAGGCCTATTGGAACACAGGCCCATCGGATCACAGGCCCGTCGGATCATTTGGGGGTGAGGTTTGAAGCCTGCCATCCCACCCAACCAATTATTTATGAATATTTGTTCCTCAGTTTAAAAAACTTTTGAACAAGATTAATTTCAATTGTCCAGATTTAAATGTACTGACCTCATTCTTCCTGTTTCTTCACCATTATGTGTTAAAACAGAATCAAACGGATGTGGTTCATTATCAAACATGTTCTTTAACGATATAACACACTCTCCTGTACATATAAATAATCAAATCATATAAAATGGCCGTCTAACATTCTACTTTTCAATACAACTCGAGCTAATGACGATGGGCATCCCGGCATGCCCTATGTAGTGTGCTATGTGGGATTTCTCAGGCCACTGCTAGATTGACTTATGATACTTGAGCTTTTGAGGGAGTTTTTCTATTCTTCCCGTTCAATCAAATCTATTTCAAGTACAACAACATCACAGCCCTTCATTTTATCTGGGGTCTTCCCTAAAACTTTGGACAGTCATTTAAGGTATTAAAAATGGTGAAAGTATTGTTCGTCTCCAAACAGTATTGTTTACACTGTAGCCATTTGATAGCCTTGTTTGTCACACAATTAGTTTGTCTGCAATATTCTGCTATGCACTTGTTAATTGGGCGTTATAAATTTCTTGAGTCATGATGTAACGTTATGTAAACATATTTGGTCCAATTTGGAGCTCTGTTTAAAGCGTAATGATATTAGTACGCAGTTAGTTATAGGTTGTTAATCGAACTATAATTTGGAACAGAAATTTGCTTCCATTACAGCAATGTTAAGTGGGATTAGGTCTAAATAGTATTGAATAGACTGTTCTGACTCACCATAAGATTCACTATCAGCACCAATACTTTTAACAGCTATTAATATATGTTGTTCTTCTAGATAATCCTGATCACTAAATAACGGTCGCAGCTAAAATAAATAAACAATATTATAGCATATAATATATAGCAAATAAACAATGTTTACTAGAAAATAGCAATGAACAATGTTTACTAGAAATTATGTTATGCGGTATAATATATAGCAAATAAACAAAAAATAAACAATGTTCACTAGGAATTATGTTATACGGTATAATATACTATTCAAAAAAAGTAGGGGATATTTGATTTTGGGGGCATAATACTAAAATATGCAAATGACTACGAAAAAAGTCACTATAGAACCTAACAGAAGAAACATTTCCAGTTACATGTGACGCCCAAACGCACCAATAGCTACCGCATGGAATGCAGGTGATGCTTGGGATCATCATGGGGGTCCAACCCAAGATTTGCACGACTCTGACTTTGAATGTTACAGTCATTGTGGCATTGAATTCCAGGGTGGAAACATCAGTTTAATTGTTTTAGTGACCAGAAAACAAATTTTGATATGCGTCGGCTTACCCAAAATGAAAGGTTACGTGCCCTTGGCATGCTACAGATCGGCACAACACAGGCGGTTGTGGTGCGGACGATGAATGTTTCTCAGTCTGTCATAAGCAGGCTATGGTCCAGATACCGTGATACACAATCTGTACAGGACAGACCATGCTCAGGTCGACCAAGGGCGACAACTCAAGCCCAGGATCGATTTATCCGTACCTTGGCCTTGAGAAATCGTGTCATCACAGCAAATCAGATCAGCGCTCGTCTTCAAACAGACACTGGTGTGAGAGTGAGTGGCCAGACGATTCGGAATCGACTGCATAGGGGTCACCTTCGCGCCCGACGTCCTCGCGTGATCCCTTGTTTGAGAGATCATCACATTCAGGCAAGACGTCGTTGGTGTAGGGATCGTCAACACTGGGATAATCGACGCTGGAGCAATGTGATGTTTTCAGATGAGTCAAGGTTCACTGTTGATTTTTTGGACAGACGTAGGAGGGTGTGGCGTCGTCGAAACGAGCGCTTCCAAGACGTTAACGTCATCAGACATGATCGATTTGGGGGGTGGTTCTGTTATGGTGTGGGGAGGCATCACTGTTGCTGGAAGAACGGCTTTACATGTTGTTGCAGGGCGTGTTACAGGCCAGTACTACCGGGACAACATCTTGGCAGTCCATGTTGTGCCGTTCGCACGACGTCATGGCCGCCGTTTCATCTTCCAGGATGACAACGCAAGATGTCACAGGGCCAGGATCGTTACAGGTTACCTCCAACAACAGAACATCACCACATTACCTTGGCCAGCACTGAGTCCCGACCTCTCCCCCATCGAGCATGTCTGGGACATGCTTGGACAGAGGTTACGTCAACGTCAACAACGTCCTGCCAATGTCCAAGAACTTGCTGCTGCGTTGCAACAGGAATGGGACAATCTGGACCAAAATGACCTTAGACGTCTCATTAGGAGTATGCCACGTCGGATCAATGCTTGTTTGGCAAACAGAGGAGGATTTACCCGTTACTGACTTGGTTGTGATGCTGTGGTAACTTTGCTGTTTGACCCCGGGTATCATTTTACCCTTATAATGGTCAGTCTGTGCCTTACTTAGTCTAACGATCATTTGGAATAAATCGATGAATGTGAACTTCATTTCATTTTGTCATTTGTTTCTTCGTCAGTTTCATTAGGTGACTTAATAACACTTAAAAATCAAATATCCCCTACTTTTTTTGAATAGTATATATATAGCAATAAACAATATTCACTAGAAATTATGTTATACAATATAATACATAGTAATAATAGCAATGAACAATGTTTACTAGAAATTATGTTATACGGTATAATATATAGGAATAATAGCAATGAACAATGTTTACTAGAAATTATGTTATACGGTATAATATATAGCAGATAAACAATGTTTACTAGAAATTATGTTATACAATATGTGTAGGAAATGAAATGTGGTTTGCAACTGGGAGCAACTGCTTTCAAACAATAGCATGTGTGCTTATGTTGATCATATCAGCAACTGAGAGGAATTGAATTTGGAGCATTCATGTTGACTCGGAACTGATAGCGATTATATTTATCATGTGATCAACAAAATGGCGAATATCTTATAAGAAGAACACCAAAAGCTTGGTCGGTTTTGTATTAATACATTATTGTCGACATCTTCGACATTTGAAAAGTGGATACCTTCATTCGCTTCCAATTTGCCTATCTATAAAGTCAAAAGTCACATGACACATGTCTCTTATCATGTGATGTTATTTCCATGGAAATGGGTGGCTGCCAGTTGTAAGAGCACTCATGTCGACGGCAACTAGTTGCTGCTAGTTGAAGCGAGTTGCAGAAAGTTAACCATGGGCAACTGGCTCAACTTCCTGGAACTAGTTGCTCTGAGCTATAAGAGACGCTCAGGTCGACCTTTTTCAGTTGCATTCAGTTGAAGTCAGTTGCTCCAAGTTGCCGAAACGCCAATTGCTCCCAGTTTTCTGCACCAACCAGGCTAATCAGACAAGCAAACGCCATACAGCATGCTATGAGGGAATTCCATCCGTCAAGGGATCTTTTACGTGCACTTCAATGTGTACACAGGACCTCGATTTTTTGTTGCATCCAAATGACTAGACAGCAGTCCTTGTCAGGTCCTCCATCCTGCACCAATGACAAGGGGAAACCACAAACCCGCGACCTTCAGGCTAGCATGAGTTATAAAATATCCTACCTCAGGTAACTGGTCACTAGACCATGTAGGACATGTATTAAAGCCAGTCCTATCCTCTTTAAAATTTTTATTAGATTCACAACATATTATATCTGAAAAATAACATCAATTAAATACATAATGAAATTAGATTTTATTTTTCATCTCAGTTTATAATTACTCACTAGACCTTACAGGAAACATATTAAATCCTGTTTTATCTTTGTTACATTCGTAACATTTAATATCTGAAAAATCACATCAATCAAATATATCATAAAATCATCCTTCCAAGTTAAGACCTTTCAAGTACGAATGTGAGTGTGAGAGAGAGAGAGAGAGAGAGAGAGCGAGCGTTTAACCTCCAGTCGACACAAACCAGGTCATTTCGGGACTAACATATGGTTCAATTTTATTTCAACAATTTGCTTGCGCGAAGGGGTTCTTTAGTAGTGGGAAGAAACCGGAGAAAACTGACAAAGTTAGACTGGCGACCCTACTCCTTGTCACATACAACCGGCGAATCGAAACCCCGCCAGTTGACTCAATGACAGACCTGATTATACAACGATCACACACGCAAACCATTCAGCAATCCAACCCCCCAACCCCAAATAAGGTAACTCTTTGAGCTTGTCAGTAACTTTGTTGTGATGTCACAGGGAAACAAGGGATCCATACAAAATGATAGGTTTGTCACATTAAATCGTGCCTGTACTGAATAAGTGAGTAAGCCTATCCTAACCAGAGCATGACACCAGACATTATTCATTGCTAACATGAGTGATATTCTTTAGTTATAAAATAGAAAAATAAATTACCTGCCAGACAACCTGAGTAAAATTCTAAAATAAAATACTGTTTACAGCACGTCTTCACCTGTAAATGTAATAAATTGTCATCACACCCCAGACAATAAATTATCATCACACCCCAGACAATAAATTATCATCACACCTCAGAAAAATAAATCATCATCACACCCCAGACAATAAATTATCATCACATCCCAGATAATAAATTATCATCACACCCCAGACAATAAATTATCATCACACTCCTGGCAATAAATTATCATCACACCCCAGACAATAAATTATCATCACACACTAGAACAATAAATTTTCATCACACACTAGAACAATGAATTATCATCACACCCCAGACAATAAATTATCATCACACCCCAGACAATAAATTATCATCACACCCTAGACAATAAATTATCATCACACCCTAAACAATAAATTATCATCACACCCCAGATAATAAATTATCATCACACCCCAAACAATAAATTATCATCACACCCCAGACAATAAATTATCATCACACCTCAGAAAAATAAATTATCATCACACCTCAGAAAAATAAATTATCATCACACCTCAGAAAAATAAATTATCATCACACCTCAGAAAAATAAATTATTATCACACCCAGGTAATAAATACAGAAATGGAAGAACTGAGTGGATGTTTACAGAAATGAAATGATGTTGAATGTCCTATTTCTATGCACAAATTGGGCCAATTGAAGATGAGTATATGCCATACAATGTACAATGATGGTAATTTTGCAAAGACAGCTCTCTGTTTCCGCCTACTTTTCGTCTAATTCAAATTGTCAAAAGTTCTTGGAACTTTATCGACCAATAATGGGATTAAACCCTGGACATCCTGGCCACAAGGTTACAAAGCATTCTCGGACTTCAGTAAAGAATTTACCCAAAATTTTTCACCTTATTTTAACTAAAATATAGTTCTATATACAACTTTTGTTGTTTTAATGTATCAAATAAATCAATAAGAAACTATGTCCAAAGTTTTTGTTTCTCGATCAACGATATTTCTCATAAACAATGATTGAAAGTTGAGTAAATTCTTAACTTAAGTTAATACTTTGTGAACTTGGGGCCAGGTTAACTTAAATTTTCGAATAGTAATTTATTTATCATCATCAGCCTTCTTTTGACTTCCATTTCTCTTTACATCTTCAGTTCAATGCGAGAGAGAGAGAGAGAAATGGGGTTTAACGTCCACACAACTCAAACTAGGTCATTTTGGGACTAACATGTGGTTCAATTTTATTTCAATAATTTGCTTTCATGTAGAGATCTTTAGCAGTAGGAAGAAGGTGGAGAAAGCCCACAAGGTTGGAAGGGAAACCCTACTCCTTGTCACATATACAAGCAGGGGTCTTTAGCAGTGGGAGGAAACTAGAGGACCCAGAAAAAACCTGCAAAGTTGGACAGGCAACTCCTTATAACATACAACCGAGGAATCGAAACAACGCCAGTTGACTCAATGACAGACCTTATGATAAAGCGTGCATACACTAACCATTCTGCCATCAAACCCCCCAAAATTCAATGCACTGAAACATTAATCAAATTAAATTTTCTTTCAATTGAAAACATTAGGTGAGAACTGACCTGAGCTTCAATCCTATTAAATCTTATTTTACATGATACTTCATCCGTAAGTGAAACTCTACTCTGTACAAACTGTGAGGCTACACCAACTGTAAATGACGCAAACACTGGACGATGGTCACTGTTTAATAGATTCTCTGCACAACCTAGAAAAAAAAGTGAAATTATTAAAAAGTACCAGAGAGAGAGAGATGGGCTTTAACCTCCAGTAGACCCCAACTAGGTCATGTCGGGACAAACATATGGTTCAATTTTATTTTAATAATTCGATTGCGCGTAGGGTCTTTAGCAGTGGGAGGACCCAGAGAAAACCAACGAGGTTGGACAGGCAGCCCTACTCCTTGTCACGTACAACCGAGGAATCGAAACCACGCCAGTTGACTCAATGACAGACCTTACGATGCAGCCCGCTAACCATCCGGCCATCCAACCCCCCTTAAAAGTACTAATAACTTTATTTAATGTGTGACTACTCTCAACAATAAAATGACACTATACATCCAACATGTAAATCAAAACAGAAATGAAATGGGTTTAAAGGTGGATAAGTGGGAAAGATGCTGGCTCCCTAGCCTGGAGGTTGCGTGTTAGATCCCTGCATTGACCGAGAAAGTTCATCAGGAATTTCAGGCGTGGTTTCCCCTTGTCAATGGTGCAGGATGGAGATCATGCTGATGGAATGAAAAACCGAGGTCCTGTGTATACATTGGGGTGCGCGTAAAAGATCCCTTGGCAGTTAGAATTCGATATATGAGTAGGCCATAGTGCCACTGCCCTGGTAAAATGTCCCTCATAACACACTGTATGGCATATGCCCATCTTCATTAGCCCAGTCAGAGTAGAACAGTAGGACGTTAAACCCTATTAAATTTCACGCCAGGAAATCCCAATGAACTTTCTTGGCCAATGCAGGGATCAACCCCATGACCTCCACGCTAGCGAGCCAGCGTCTTACCCACTTAGCCAATGTGGCTCATGAATACACTTTGAGTTATTGCAATACATTGCATAAAGTATATACATACCATAAGCAGTATTTTCTATGAAAGTACCAGGGAGGGAATGCCATAATATTCTATCACACCAAGATGGGGCGTTGATACGCTCCTGAAATCAAAACAATAAAAAGCTACATTCTGGGGGAAAAAAAAGAAAAGCACAGAATAACCTCTGTCTATTTAAGGAAAAAAAGAAATCAAAATAGGTTTTGTAAAATTGTCAAATGGAATCTGAGGCTGGATTTATCAAATCAAACATTATATTCATTTATATTGTGATAAACATGTATTAATTATTTACACCAGGCCCCGACTTCACAAAACATTCTCAGACTTAAGAATTTACTCAAAATTGTTCGCCTTATTTTAACTTATAAAACTTACATCAATAAAAAACTATGTGCAAAGTTTTGTGTTTCTATATCAAAGACTTTTCTTATGAACAGTGATTGAAAGTTGAGCAAAGTTTAAATCTTAGAATGCTTTGTGAACTTGGGGCCTGGTGTAAATAACTCGGGGACCAGGCCATTTCTTCTCTCAAGCGTCTACGATCACCAGGGTCATTCTTGTGCCTTAAAGATACAGTGAGAGAGAGAAATGAGATTTAACGTCCACTTAACACAAACTAGGTCATTTCGGGACTAACATATGCTTTAATTTTATTTACATAATTCGCTTGCACGTAGGGGTCTTTAGCAGTGGGAGGAAACCGGAGGACCCGGAGAAAACCCACGAGGTTGGACAGGCGACCCTACTCCTTGCCACGTACAACCGGGGATTCGAAACCACGCCAGTCGACTCAATGACAGACTTTATGATACAGCGCGCGCACGCTAACCATTCAGCCATCCAACCCCCCTCTTAAAGATACAGTGCGCTTATTCTAGTAGATAGAAATAAATGAAGAGCCCATGGGAAGAACAGTCTAAGTCACTTTTTTCAAGAACCACAGTTAATAGCGCCATATGGTAACAAATTGTATAAGCTTGCTGTCGAACAATTGATTTCGGGTAAAAACAATCGGTGTCACATCGAACCAGGGCCATTCTGAAATTGCATCCAGAGAATTGGAGTTGTAAGTTGAAGACAACCGGAAGTAGGGAATGCATTTATTATAGACTAGATTAAGAATAGAATTAAATATAGCTTACGCTAGTTTTCTTTAAACAAACTGCCAATATTAACATGACACCATATTTTTTTTTGGCTCATCCGTATGACTACTTGGAGTTGTAAAGTGAAGACAAATGGAAGTAGGGAATGTATTTATTAAAGACTAGACTAAGAATAGAATGAAATATAACTTACGCTAGTTTTCTTTATTTTCTTCCAGTCATAACTATAACCAGGTCGATATCTGTCAAGTTTATATGTAGGCATAAAACTTATCTCAGATTCATCTGAAATAAATTAACAAAGATATTAAAGGTCACTGGAAAGGCTTTAAAATTTTTTTAAAAATAATGCAAATAATTATGTTAACATATCCTTTCCATAAGTATAACACGAACCTGAATGTCAATATTACCTGCAACAGGTAAATTTCAAAGTTAGTAATTTCTGCCATTCTCGGTCAATAAACAATCTGTAATGTCATTTTATTCCTTCTGTTCATATTCTAGTCTATATTTCTATGAGAGAGAGAGAGAGAGAGATGGGGTTTAACATCCACTAGACACAAACTAGGTCATTTCGGGACTAACATATGGTTTTAATTTTATTTCAATAATTCGCTTGCACATAGCGGTCTTTAGCAGTGGGAGAAAACTGGAGGACCCGGAGAAAACCCACGAGGTTGGACAGGCGACCCTACTCCTTGTCACGTACAACCAGGGTATCGAAACCATGCCAGTTGACTCACTGATAAGCCTTATGATACAGCGCACACTTGCTAACCGTACGGCCATCCAACCCCCCTTGAGTCAAAGGTTATTTATTGTACTTCAAATATTGTCCAAACATCGCTAACTTACTGAATGTATAGAAGGCCTTTTTATCAAACTGAACTTTACGTAGTTGATCTTTTTCTAACAGATAGGCAATATCACGATTCTCTGCTTTTTTTAATATAACCTACAAAATCAATATCATTTTTAATATAACCTACAAAATCAATACCAGTTTTAATATAACCTACAAAATCAATACCAGTTTTAATATAACCTACGAAATAAATATCAATTTTAATATAACCTACAACATCAATATCACAACTTTTTTCTTTAATATAAACTACAAAATCAATATTAATTCTATATATTCAAATCTAGTAATTTATTGAGAAATCGCGTTTATGCAACCAGAGATAATGCCAAGATTAGTGATAAGGGTTTTAAAATTGTTTATTGATTAGTTACTGACTAAATCCAAATCTTGATGGCAAAGACAGTAATAATATCTAGCCTCAGAAATCCCAAATTTTAGGGGGGGTAATTGAACTGAAATGAGGTTTAACGTCCTACTATTCTGCTCCGAACTGGGCTAATGAAGACAGGCATACGCCATACAGTGTGCTATTAGGGAAATTTTGCCCGGACAGCTGCACTCCGGCCTACTCATATATCGAATTCCAACTGTCACAGGATCTTTTACTTGCACGCCAATGTGTACATGGGACCTCGGTTTTTCGTACCATCCGAATGACTTGACAGCTGTCCTTGTCCGGCCCTCCGTCCTGCATCACTGACAAGGGGGAACCACACCGGAAAATCTGGATGAACTTTCTCGGCTTTGGGGGGGGGTTAAAACAATACATACAAAAAAATACTTACATCTATGTTATCAGACACTCTATAGTTTAAATCCCCAAAGAAAAATACATGATGAAATTTATGCGTTATGTCAAACGAATCCATGTTCTTTGGTCCAAGATTTAAACCTTTCAATATATCACGGAAATTCTGATTTCTCCTGTAAACAAAATGAAGAATTATTTCATATATCTGTGATTAAGATAATGTATCGAACTAAAGTGACGAGATATTAATGCTGATCATTATTTAGCAGTGGAGCATTGCTGTGTAACCCTTTAGTATCTGTGGGAAGGCTGGATGGCTGAATGGTTAGCGTGCGCGCGCTGTATCATAAAGTCTGTCATTGAGTCGACTGGCGTGGTTTCGAATCCCCGGTTGTACGTGACAAGGATTAGGGTCGCCTGTCCAACCTCGTGGGTTTTCTCTGGGTCCTCCGGTTTCCTCCCACTGCTAAAGACCCCTACGCGCAAGCGAATTATTGAAATAAAAATTAAACCATTTGTTAATCCTGAAATGACCTAGTTTGTGTCGAGTGGACATTAAACCCCATTTCTCTCACTCTCTTTAGTATCTGGATCGCTCCAAGCTACAGCTGTCTTAAAGTAAATGAAATGAAATGAAATGGGGTTTAACGTCCTACTGTTCTGCTCCTAAACTGGGCTAATGAAGACAGGCATACGCCATACAGTGTGCTATGAGGGAAATTTTGCCCTGGCAGCGGCGCTACGGCCTACTTTTATATCGAATTCCAACTGCCAAGGGATCTTTTACGTGTACGCCAATATGTACACGGGACCTCGGTTTTTCGTCTCATCTGAACAACTAGACAGCTGTCCTTGTCAGGCCCTCCGTCCTGCATCATTGTTAAGGGGAAACCACGCCGGAAAATCTGGATGAACTTTCTCGGCCAATGCAGGGATCGAACACCCAAGCTCCAGGCTAGCGAGCCAGGGTCTTACCCACTTAGCCACGCGATCCCCCTGCCTTAAAGTAGCTAAGTCTCTAAATCAATATCATCCAATGATTTCGACATTGAAAACACAAATTATTTGTCAATTTAAATCAACACTGATGTTGTGATCTTACTGGGAAACGGTATGCTTCTGATATGCAATATTTAAGACAACATAAACATTTTACCATTGGTACACGAATTGTGTACCATAATGTGTTTCAGCGCCATTTGTAACAAGGGACTTGAAGAACGAAAATAGATATATTCCAAAAGTCATGTCAAATGGTGACGACATATTCTTATCTGGAGAGCATGCACAATAAATATTATCAGTGTAGACTGGAATAACCAGACACTAGAGATTGCCATTCGATTGAGAATTCTGATGTATTGAATGTAAATCAGTTTACACACATTCATATTACATTATTATATGCATTGTGACCCATTTTTGTCCATTTCTAGGTCCCAAATATTAGCGATTTAGCTCCTTTAAGCCCACTAGTCAAAGGAAGAGAGAGAGAAATGGGGTTTTAACATCCACTCAAGACAAACCTGGTCATTTCGGAACTAACATATGGTTCAACCTTATTTCAATAATTTGCTTGCGCGTAGTGGTCTTTAGCAGTGGGAGGAAACCGGAGGACCCAGAGAAAACCCACAAGGTTGGACAGGCAACCCTACGCCTTGTCACGTACAACCGTGGGTTTCAAATATGAGCTACAAAATGCCATGTAAAAAAGATCACTTTTCTTTATTATTTTTTTAGAATACAACTACCGTACGGTTTTTAATATTTACATATACTAGTTGTTAAAAGGTTATGGGACATAAGATTACGAGAAACTATAGTATTCGATAATTCTTTGATTTAATAATAAGAAAGATTACCGTGAACATCTCTCTTCACCAGACGTTAAGTGTGCGTTAACAAAAGAAAATGGTGTTCCATTTATCTGGAATGATATTCCTACAGCTCCTTTATTACCTGTAATTCAAAAATATTAACATACAAATATCTTTATTACCTATAATTATATTCAAATATTTTAACATACAAATATCTTTCTGTTAATGTTTCAATATGTAGTAAATAAATTTTCAGGTCTTCACATATCATTCATAAATATCAACAAACTTTCATGTGTTCACATATTACTCACAAATAATGAGTGTCCAATTTTTAAACAAAGATTTGATATTAAACGAATGTGAAAGAAATTAGTGCTAGATACACAAGATTAAATAATACCCAAGTTACAGTGGCTGGCCTGAAGATCTTTCTCAGCCACCATCAGGATCAAACCCAGGACCTTGTGACTCACTGAGCCACAAACCACAGTAATTGTACAAAATGAAATGAAATGGGGTTTAACGTCCTACGCTTCTGCACCTAACCTGGGCTAATTGAAGACGGGCATACGCCATACAGTGTGCTATGAGGGAAATTTTGCCCGGGCAGCGGCGCTACGGCCTACTCTTATATCGAATTCCAACTGCCAAGGGATCTTTTACGTGCACGCCAATGTGTACACGGGACCTCGGTTTTTCGTACCATCCGAACGACTAGGCAGCTGCAGTAATTGTACAAGAATTGGACATTATGAAAATAGAATATTAAATCCCTTCTGTCTGTTCCCTGATATGAAATATTACTATATTTACCTAGTTTATTGGCTATACCGGTTCTAACTGTAGATTTCTGTATGTGACTGATTATATTTCTATACTGGGGATCTATCAATATCACCATTCTTATACCCCATAATGTACACGTCTCTAACTGTAAAATATATATAATATACAATATACCACATAATGTACACGTCTCTAACTGTAAAATATATATAAAATACAGAATATATAATATACTACATAAAATATATAATATACAATATACCACATAATGTACAGGTCTCTAACTGTAAAATATATATAATATACAGTACACCACATAATGTTCATGTCCTTAACTGTAAAATATATATAATATACAGTATACCACATGTCTCTAACTATAAAAATATATAATATACAATATATCACATAATGTACAGGTCTCTAAATATAAAAATATATAATATACCACATAATTTACAGGGCCTGTTTCACGTAATTTTAACTAAGATAAAATCCAAATTTTAGTAATTTGATTGGATAATATTAGATTGATTATAGTGCTTAGCCAATTAAAATTGAAGTATCTACTAAAATTTGGATTTTATCTTTAGTTAAGATTTCGAGAAACAGGGCCCAGGTCTCTAACTGTAAAAATATATGTAATATACCCCTTATTGCGCAACAGATGTAAGCGGACAATCCACAGCTTTATGCTATACATACTGATACTGATATAGAAAACATAAGAAACAAGTATGTCTTTAATACCCTTTAAAATACAGATTTGATGTCATCCTTTGACGCTGGCGTATAATTATTTCAAATAATTGTACGGGCAATGTGCCAAGCGTACATCATTTATACTAGTTAAAATTTTGGACCCGTGTGACGTATTTCATTGCAAAGCATGTGCAAGTGTCTGTATTTTAAGTTGTTTAATGGTCTCGAGCTTATTAAGACATTGCATAATATATTGACACAACATCTCGGGACTGACATCCCTTGTGTTGTTTCAATATATTACTTAATGTCTCGCTCTCGACCATTAAAGCACACAGAATGTATATGTCTCTAATTGTAAAAATATATAATATACATTATATAATATACCTCATACGTGCAGAGTATAGTATACCCGTTTTAAATGGTGTTTTAACTTTTTTTATTAATGCCTTTTAACCAGTATTATGTTCACAAGCTCTCATATTAAATTGGAACATAAACAGGGAGACAACTCAGTGATTTGAAATCAAAAAATTCTGAATTACAAATGGATATCTTACCACATCAACATCAGCCTTAAGCGTAGCTTTTAGACTTGCTTTTAATGTATTGGTCCAATCTTTATCATTGAGACCACTCTCTTGGGTACCAATAACGTATATACCATGAGGAATCTTAGATAATACTCTATCTAAAGGTTTACCAGCACCATTACATTTCAACCATTGTTTCAGAGAATTACTCGGACCAGATTTAGCTAAAGAGGAAAAGAAATATAATCAACAACTGAGTTGAAATTGGGTACGTATGTTAAATTATTTTAGAAGATGTTGGGGATCTTTTTAAGTTTACCAACTTTCGTGGCCTACACAAATTAATTGAGCGCATATGTTAAATTTTTTACAAGCATTCTGTCTAATAAGATTGTTTTTTTTTTAAGGTTTAAGAACTTTTGTGGCCTACATCAGGATCAAACCCTGTACTTTCTGTTTATTGAGCCAGCTCTTGATTCACCGAGCCACTCTTTAACTTGATCAGCAAAAGAGAGAAAGGGAAATGGGGTTTAACGTCCACTCCACACAAACTAGTCCAGTCCGGGATTAACATATGGTTCAATTTTATTCAAATAATTCACTTGCGTGTAGGGGTCATTAGCAGTGAGAGGAAACCAGAGGACCCGGAGAAAACCCACAAGGTTGGACAGACGACCCTACTTTGAGTTGCAAAAGAGTGCATGTGTTAAACTGTTTACATTTATTCTGTTTTAGATGTTGTTTTATTTTGAAGTTCAACAACTTTTGTGGCCTACACCTGAATCAAACCCTGTATCTTCTGGTTAGTAAGCCAGCACTTGACTCACTGAGCCACGTGTAAGCGAATTATTGAAATAAAATTGTAACATATGTTAGTCCCGAAATGACATAGTTTGTGTCAAATGGACACAAGAAAATCATCTACTACTCACCCATATTCCATGTACCAATAAATATTGAAACTTGGTCGACTTCTTTCTCCGTGGAATGCATGCTCTTCATTTGTCGAATCTGTAGACAGAAGTTCTCCCGGGCATGCGCACTCTCAAACTGATATGTGTATTTTTTCTTGCCTTCGATGATAACGTCTAATTTACTACTATCAGACGTATTCTTTACTAGCTGTAAAACTGAAATACAATATTAGATATGACAATAACTTCATTTTACGTATTACTCCTTACCAGGGCTTCCACTAGTCGGTCATATTTGTCATGTAGAAAGTGGTGTTATTTTTAGTACATAATAGGAGGCCACTATACAACATGATATTGAAATTGGGTCAAGGACTGTCACACTGAAATTCAATCTCACATTGGCATCTATATCCTCTCTAATAAATAATAAAGAAATGCATATAATCAATTATCATCATATTTGATACTGCATAAAAATATTCATTCACTATACATTAATAAAATATAACAATCACAAAATTAATTCATTCATTCATTCATTCAGCACGCCTACACTATTTGCCCAGTTTCTTCACTAGGTCACCCGTATAAACTTGGCAGTTTTTTGCAAAACTTTTCAAGTCTTTAAAGCAATTGGCGGTACTTTTCGGCGTATAAGTTGATACTTTTTTCGCGGAAGTCAGGCCTTCGTTTTATACTCCACTTCCACTTATATTTAGCAGTGGGAGGAAACCGGAGAACCAGGAGAAAACCTACAAAGTTGGACAGGCGAAATGGGGTTTAATGTCCACTCGACACAAACTAGGTCATTCCGGGAATAACATGGTTCAATTTTATTTCAATAATTCGCTTGTGTGTAGGGGACCCGGAGAAATCCCACGAGGTTGAACAGACGACCCTACTCCTTGTCACGTATACATTGGGGAATTGAAACCACCCCAGTTAACTCAATGACAGACCTTGTGATCTAATACACACACATTAAACCATTCGGCCACCCGACCCTCCTCTGGCAAATGTGACTGAAACAGAGCCATTATTACCAAATATACTTGTGTTATCTTTACTGCTTCCAGATCCTTCAAAATAAAAGAATATGAACAAAGCCAGGCCCCAATTAAAGCAAAAAACATTTTACTTACTTTTATCATGGTTAAAGGTGTTACTGGAATCAAGGAAATCTTTGGACGGTTTCACAGCAAAAAATCGGCCTGCTCGGATGTCTATTGTTAATGCAATCTTGGAGGAAAATTTACCAGATTTTGATACTTTCACCTGTAAGTAGAAGCAAATAACTGTGAAACAACCAATAAAAGTGTCAGAAAATTGACCAATCTGATTCAAACACAGATCCTATTTCGTTTTGTTTTTTATAGTTCGTTTTACTTGTCTTTACTACACTAGGATCGTTTATTTATTCTTTCAATGGCCTGCACTACATGAAGATCTGACCAGTTGTAGTGGAAGGATGTGTCAGGGGTCATACGGGCGGCTTTTGACCCTATGATGTCAGACAGTTGATTAACCAATAAGCGTTCATGTTTCTAGTGGGTTACCCACAATTCCGCGCACCACACCTCAAGAACTCACCATAACAGACCGTTTCATTGGCTAATCCCACACATCAACAAAAACGCGACTTATATAACAACTCTTCCAGATCCTAGTGTAGTAAAGATAAGTAAAACGAAATTTTGAACTATAAAAAACACAATGAAATAGGATCTGTGTTTTAATCAAATTGCCCAAGAACAAAAAGATACACAGTCTCCTTAGAGTCAATTTAATTTTGGCAATAAGCATAACATCAGTCATTGTTTTTTAACCCGTTAAGTGCGTAGGTCGTTAAATAACGTCCTGGACAACTGCCACTCACTGTGTGTAGGGCGTAATATAACGCCTTGGAGGTATTTTCCCCAATCTATTCTTAGAACATAGTTCGTCACTTGGGGGTATCCCGTGGGAATTCCACAACGATCGCAGCATGTGTAGGACGTTATATTACGTCCTGGACAACTGACACTCACTGTGTGTAGGGCGTAATATAACGCCTTGGAGGTATTTTCCCCAATCTATTCTTAGAACATAGTACATAGTTCTTCGTCACTTCGTCAAATTAATTACACAATAGCGGGTAGTTAACGTTTTAAAAACGTCAAGCTTAACAGGTTAAGGCGAGTGATCGCTCTCAAGCGACTGCCGCTCCCCTTGAAATTGAAAATTGCTCTCCTTTACAAAGTCATTGGGGGTTTATTATTATTAATCAAACCAGGAATGACCCCATTACATGCAGTTATTGATCTTCAGAACTATTTCCCATACACACAACTAATCACTCTCCTTAATATCAGATCACTCTCCTTAATTTCTAAATCACTCTTCTTATCGAAACAGGGAGAACTTTTTTAGGGGAGCGATTTTTTCAATTTGTTGATAGAGGGGAGCTTTTTTGGGGGCTCTCCTCTGAAATACAAAAAACAACGACGGCAACATACATATCTAATAGCCTATTTTTCGATATACCTTTACACAAATCATAAATTATATAGACATACATATTTCTTACATCAAAAGTAGACAATGGAATGAGACTGGATTTTTTATTGGATGGTGATAAACCAAGTGTTCCATCTGGGCTGGTCGAACTTGATGCATGATCAAATCCATTACCAGTATCTTGTGGTATATCCTTTATCACTTCCAAAGCCTGTAAAGGATTCTTTAGTTTAAATTTCTTCTTTCTTCTTTTAAACATATTTACACAAACAAATATCTCCTACATATTTACACAAACAAATATATCCTATATATTTACACAAACAAATATCTCCTACATATTTCTTTTACTTTAAACACTTTTAAAAATTGTTTTAATACACAATCAAATATAATACACCAGGTTAGCATGTAATCCAAATTAACATTTAATAATTTTCCATTTCAGTTCACTGGTGTTTAAAATCAGATGAAAGACGGTTTGATACATAGATCATACAGACGAAAAACTCTGATTAATTCACTGAACTTCATTTCGTGAGTGTCGTCTTTATAATAAGATAAAAAGACACTTGATTTCTCTCTCAGTATCCTTTGAAGTACTGAACATTACAACAAATAGGATGTCATGTTTGCTATCCATCATAAAGTCAATTTCCTAACAATTGAGATGAGATCCACCTGCTTTTGCATTCGGGAAATTAAACACTATTTAATGTCCCGAACATCCCAAACAGAAATGTCAACTACATCCAAAAAGTTAAGTCCACAATTACACAAAATATAACTCTGACTGAATTTCAAGTCTCTATAAATGTATCATACTAATAAGGTGAGAGATCAAATGATTTTAATATTAATTCATTGGTGATGTACATGTAGATTGGATTATATACCTAACTTACAGCAGTCTGGCCGTTAAGATTAAAATTGTTCAAATCAATCAATTGATGAACTGCCTCCAGGCCAATTAAATATTGCCCAAATCAATTAATCAATCAGATTTTTTTAAACAATCTTATTCACTGAACTTATGGTCAAAATGTCCATAGGTAATAATGTCTCATACAAATTATGTTCTTACCTGTGATCAAAATGTCCATAGGTAAAAATGTTTCATACAAATTATATTCTTACCTGTGGTCAAAATGTCCATAGGTAATAATGTCTCATACAAATTATATTCTTACCTTTTTTTCTAAGTTCAAAACTTCTGTTTTACAGGTTGATAATTTTCTGGACAAATAGTCAAAGATTGAGGTAGACGCCTGAAAAATATTTAATAATTTGTTTTCAGTCACTGACATAATGATCAGAGCATTTCGATCAGTTTCTAGATGAAAAGGTGTGTCAAAAAGATCAAAATTAGAAGCTGTACTCAGTCTGTGACCTCTGACTATCGTACTGGATAACTCAGCAATTACCGATCAACACATTGTAAATAGTGTCCAGCCTCGTAACATAAAGGGTCCATTGTCGTAACAAAAAGGGTCTATCGTTGTAACAAAAGATAAAATCAGTCGATCAAGGTAGAGATAAGTAGTTAATTAAGGTAGGTGTATAGACTGCATAACATGATAAATACGTTGATCACTTAATTACCTAATCAATCCAGCCTATTATCAACGATAATGGAGATGAGCAGTAGTTATACAGTCAATATAATTTGGAATTTTGAATATTATTTACCATGTCCGATTGAGCATATTCCTGGTCGGAAGTTTGGAAAATCGTGTAGGACATCCATGGTCCATCCTCATAACATAAAGGATCTATCTTCATAACATAATAGGGTCAATCCTCATAACGTAATAGGGTCAATCCTCATAACATAATGGGTCAATCCTCATAACATAATAGGGTCAATCTTCATAACATAAAGTTTCCATTCTCGTAACCTAATGGGTCCATCCTCATAACATAAAGGGTCCATTCTCGTAACCTAATAAGGTCCCCATAATCTAATAGGGCCCATGCTCATAACCCAATAGGGTCTATCCCCATAAAATAATAGGGTCTATCCTCATAACATAATAAAGTCCATCCTTATAACCCACCCAATATGGTCTATCCTCGTAGCCTAAAAGGGTCTATCCTCATAACATAATAAAGTCCATCCTTATAACCCACCCAATATGGTCTATCCTCGTAGCCTAAAAGGGTCTAACCCATAACCTAATAGGGTCCATCCTCATAACCCAATAGGGTCTATCCCCATAGAATAATAGGGTCTACCCTCATAACATAATAAAGTCCATCCTTATAACCCACCCAATATGGTCTATCCTCGTAGCCTAAAAGGGTCTAACCCATAACCTAATAGGGTCCATCCTCATAACCCAATAGGGTCTATCAACATAGAATAATAGGGTCTACCCTCATAACATAATAAAGTCCATCTTTATAACCCACCCAAAATGGTCTATTCTCATAGCCTAATAGGGTCTATCCCATAACCTAATAGGGTCAATGCTCATAACCTAATAGGGTCTATCCCATAACCTAATAGGGTCCATCCTCATAACCCAATAGGGTCTATCCCCATAGAAAAATAGGGTCTATCCTCATAACATAATAAAGTCCATCCTTATAACCCACCCAATATGGTCTATCCTCGTAGCCAAATATGGTCTATCCCATAACCTAATAGGGTCCATCCTCATAAACTAATAGGGTCTCACCTCGTAACCTAATAGGGTCTATCTCTTAACCTAATAGGGTCTATCTCTTAACCGAATATGATCTATCTTCATAACCCAATAGGGTCCATCCTCTTAACATAATAGGGTCTATCCCTAAACCTAATAGGATCTAGTAGGGAATATCCGCATAACCTAATAGAATTATTCTATTCATACAATTTTAAACTAAAATATCTTAAGCATAGTCCCTGTTCATTTGCTAAGATCTGTGATACGATTTTATGCTGAGTTTTCACAAAAAATGATGTCTACACAGGTTCTCCTACATCCAAATCAATAATCTACATGTCAATAAAAAGAGAGAGAGACATGTACCCTGAAATGAAATGGGGTTTAACGTCCTACTGTTTTGCTCCGAACTGGGCTAATGAAGACGGGCATACGCCATACAGTGTGCTATGAGGGAAATTTTGCCCGGACAGCGGCACTACGGCCTACTCTTATATCAAATTCCAACTGTCTAGGGATTTTTTACGTACACGCCAATGTGTACACAGGACCTCGTTTTTTTCGTCTCATCCGAATGACTAGACAGCTGTCATTGTCAGGCCCTCCGTCCTGCATCACTGACAAGGGGAAACCACGCCGGAAAACCTGGATGAACTTTCTCGGCCAATGCAGGGATCGAAAAGAGAGAGAGAAATGGGGTTTAACGTCCATTCAACACAAACTAGGTCATTTCTTGACTTACGTATGGTTAATTTTATTTCAATAATTCGCTTACGCGTAGGGGTCTTTAGCAGTTGGAGGAAACGGAAGAACCCGGAGAAAACCCCCCGAGGTTGGATAGGCGACCCTACTCCTTGTCACGTCAATAAAAAGAGTACTACTCACATCATCAGCACCATTTATCACAGTTCGTCTTGGTCCATCGTCTTCATTCTGCGTCAATAAATCATGACATAACGACATCTTTAATAAAAATACATCCAGTTCCCTGTAAAAACATATTCATATAGAGTTGAAAATAAATAGACAGAACTCAATGACCATTGAAATGAAATGAAATGAAATGAAATGAAATGGGGTGTAATGGCCTACTGTTATGCTCCTAAACTGGACTAATGAAGACGGGCATACGCCATACAGTGTGCTATAAGGGAAATTTTGCCCGGGCAGCGGCGCTACGGCCTACTCTTATATCGAATTCCAACTGCCAAGGGATCTTTTATGTGCACGCCAATCTGTACACAGGACCTCATTTTTTCATCCCATCCGAACGGCTAGACAGCTGTCCTTGTCAGGTCCTCCGTCCTGCATCACTGACAAGGGGGAACCACGCCGGAAAATCTGGATGAACTTTCTCGGCCAATGCAGGAATCGAACACTCGACCTTCAGGCTAGCGTGCCAGCGTCTTACCAATGATCCCCAATGACCATTGAATACTGTTCGGGTTATTCAATGGTTCAAGAAGGAAGGTTATTCAATGGTTGTATTGAATAACCTTTTGCTTGTATTTACATGTAGTTATATAGAATAATGGCATTTATCTCCCGGTTATTTAAAAATACACTATGGGAGTTGGCAGTTCTCACTATAATAGTTAAAAACTTGATAATCTAAAGGCAATTTGCTGAAAATTGATCCACTATGAACCGAGAATTAAGCGATTGAAATTTCCGCCTAGCCTCGATCATCATTACTAAAGTCGGTACAACAAAAATCATAGTCACGATTATCCATTTAATCATTAAATCGTGAAGGAAAGTTATAGTAAATCAGATCATAATCCACTAAAGATCACAGGCTAGCTATGCCATCGAGAGTTGATTATGGTCTGGATAAGTTAATTAATGTCTAATTAATAATTTAGATAACATTTCATGCCTAAAGAAAGACCTGCAATAGGCAGATTTAGCTCTTGCATAATGTATGTTTAAAAGTAAGATATAGTTATCATTATTTTACAATTATCAGAGATATACAGTATTATATGACTCAGTCTCCAGTATTCAATGTTAATCACTATAGAAAAGAGGGATAAATGAATACGAAAGAAATTAGCGCTAGATACACAAGATTAAATGATACCCGAGTTACAGTGAAATAAAGTCACAAGATCTTCACACACCTTTGAAGGCCTTTGGCGGCTGAATGCACTAATTTTTCAAAGTCTGGCATCCTTCCTGGTTTTGACCTGATATTAATGGCATCCTTCTCCATTCCTGTATCAGTATACCGCTTTAATTCTTCCACAAACTCCCCATCACAGCTAGAAAAACAATTAGTTTAACTCGACATTGCAGTTATTCATATGAAAACGATTGGTTTAACTTTATTTTATAATTTTTGTGTATAAAACTGATACTCAATGTGTGAGTCACATAAGAGAGAGAGAGAGAGAGAGAGAGAGAGAGAGAGAGAGAGTTTAACATCCACTCAAGACAGACTAAAGGTCAATTTGGGACTAACATATGATGCAATAATTTGCTTGTGCGTAGGGGTCTTTAGCAGTAGGAGGAAACCGGAGGACCCAAAGAAAACCCACGAGGCGGGACAGGCGACCCTAATCCTTGCCAAAACTACACCAGCTGACTCAATGACAAACCTTATGATACAACGCATCATACAATGTATGAGTCACGTTAACAAAGCTAAACCATAGTTCATGTCAATCTATGTGTCACATAAACAAAGCTAAACCATAATTTAAGTTAAAGTGTGACTAATTAGAAAAATTCCCAGCTCTTAAAACAAATTACTGCCAAATAATATTTGAGATTGACCCCAATACATTTGTGATGATCACAACCGTTTTATAGAAAACAATTACTGCATTTAATCAGAGCTACATTTCAACAATGATTCTTGAAAACGACAAGAGAATCATTGTAGAATCCTCGCTCCAATTAAGAGACAGTATTTATTTCCATAGAACACTTGTGATTATCTTAATGTTTTTAAAAAACTACATGTATGGGACATTAAGACTGATACATTATATTGGGGATAATCTTTTAGAGGCATTTAGTAACTGGACAGAGCAATAGACTATAACACATACTTATGGAAGAACAATTACTGATTTATTTAAGCGACGTTTCGAAGAGTATTCTCTCAACGCTTTTAAGCAAGTATACGGGAGGTCATACATAAACATATAGATGATAATCTTACCATGATAAATCCAATCGGGCAAAATTACTCAGGAAACCATATTTAAAATGTTTGTTTGTTTGACTATCTGTCTCAGCTTCTGCATCAAGAGCTGCAAAATGTTCATCCAGACTCGTGTCCAGAAAACATTCTTCATCCTCTGTAAATCATAACATTACATGGTAAATAGATGTGTTGAAATAATAATAGTCATATACAGCATCAAGCCTTTAAATAGACATATGCAGCATCTAGCCTTTAAATAGACGTATACAGCATCAAACCTTTAAATAGTCATATACAGCATCTAGACTTTAAATAGACATATACAGCATCTGGACTTTAAATAGATATATACAGCATGTATACTTACAGTTGCATATAAAGCATACAGCTGTATAACAGTCATATATAGATGGCACCCAAACTTATAGTAGTCATATACAGTATACTGAATTATTATAGTCATATACAGCACCCAATCTTATTATAGTCATATTCAGCATGCAGACTTATTATAGTCATATACAGCACCCAATCTTATTATAGTCATATTCAGCATGCAGACTTATTATAGTCATATACAGCACCCAGACTTATTATAGTCATATACAGCACCTAGGCTTCTTATAGTCATATACAGCACCCAGACTTATTATAGTCGTATACAGCACCCAGACTTATTATAGTCATATGCAGCACCCAGACTTATTATAGTCATATACAGCACTCAGATTTATTACAGTCATATACACCACCTCGACATATTATAGTCATATACAGCACCCAGACTTATTATAGTCATACAGGGCACCCAGACTTATTACAGTCATATACGGCACCAGACTAATTATAGTCATATACAGCATAGACTTTTTATAGTCATATACAGCACCTAGAAATATTATAATCACATACAGCACCTAGACTTATTATAGTCATATACACCGCCTAGACTTATTACAGTCATTTACAGCAACCAGACTTATAATGTTCATATACTGCATTTAGACTTAGACTGGACATTTACATAGAGAGAGAAGTGGGGTTTAACGTCCACTCAACACAAACTAGATTATTTCAGGACTAGTACATGGTTCAATTTTATTTCAATAATTCGCTTGCACGTAGGGATTTTTAGTAGTTGGATGAAACCAAAGAAAACCCACGAGGTTGGACAGTGGACATTTACAGCATAAGGTATGTTTATTAAATGGCCCAAAAAATGAGGTGTGCTACCTGAATCATCCATGTCTGTATTTTCCACACCATCTGTGGTGGGTACAGGTTTTTTGAGGGCGTAAACCAACCCATTCGAACTGTCTCGTAATAAATACGCTTGAATTAAGTCAGCCAATGTGTTAAATTTTAATGGCTGTACGTCGCCTTCAGACTAAAAAAAAAAAATAATAATTAGTCACAATCAAGAATATTATCATAAATATGTCAATCTGATCAAAACACAGATCCTATTTCGTTTCGTTTTTTATAGTTCAAAATTTCGTTTTACTTGTCTTCACAACACTAGGATCTGGAAGAGCTGTTATATCAGGCATTCTGCTTGATGTGAGGAATTAGCCAATGAAACGATCTGTTACGCCGAGTTCATGGCGTGCTGTGCACGGAACTGTGGGTAAACCGGAATAGAAACATCAACGCTGATTGATTAATCAATGTCTGATGTCATAGGGCCAATAGCCACTCGTATGACACCTAACACGACCTTCCACTACAACCGGTCAGATCTTCATGTAGTGTAGGCCATCGAAAGTATAAAAACAACGAAACGAAATATAGATCTGTATTTTAATCAGATTGTTATATATGTGACAGGAAAATGGGTCGGAAGTCATTGTTTTACGATATTAACAGAAACAGAGAGAGAGAGAGAGAGAAATGGGGTTTAATGTCCACTCGACACAAACTAGGTCATTTCGGGACTAACATATGGTTTAATTTCATTTACATAATTCGCTTGCGCGTAGGGGTCTTTAGCAGTGGGAGGAAACCGGAGGACCCGGAGAAAACCCACGAGGTTGGACAGGCGACCCTACTCCTTGCCACGTACAATCAGGGATTAACAGAAACAACAAAACAGGCTAAATACAACATTTCTTTTTTTATTCTACTTTAATTGTTCCATCGAAACTGATACCTTTGATGTTATATCATTCCAAGTGATATGATTAGCCTATTTCGACATTTTTGATCTTACAGCAATGACTTGTGACTTCCAACTCACTTTTGGTCATGGGTCACTATTATTCTATAGTTAAATCAATGTCCTGGACACAAAATGGTGATTAGAAACAAATCATTAATCAAATCGTAATCCTGTCTTTAATAACATATCTTTAATCAGCTAGACGAACAATTGTGAAAGGATATTTGTGTAATTAAAGGTCATGGACCTGTCCTTTGAAGAATAGCAATCACACAAAAGCTGCAGCATTTGTTTTCTTTCAAATTTCTTTTTGCTAAATGAAATGATAAAGTAGAACAAAATGACAGTATTGAACTTCACCAACAAAATGAAATGAAATGAAATGAAATGAAATGGGGTTTAACGTCCTACTGTACTTCTCTGAACTGGGCTAATGAAGGCGGGCATAAGCCATACAGTGTGCTATGAGGGAATTTGTTTTTGCTAAATGAAATGAAATGGGGTTTGACGTCCTACTGTTCTTCTCTGAACTCGACTAATGAAGACGGGCATACGCCATACAGTGTGCTATGAGGGAATTTGTTTTTGCTAAATGAAATGGGGTTTAATGTTCTACTGTTCTTCTTCGAACTGGGCTAATGAAGTTGGGTTCTTTTTGCTAAACAAAGAACATGATCCATGATCGCACACGAAGAGTTGAAGCTAAACAATATCTGTTCACTGTTTAAATTTATTATATCATTTCTCAAGCATGTAGAATGCTTGTCTGTAATGAATGAATATCAAAAAGATAAATGGAGTGAGGTCAATGCAAATATTCTAGACAGATGTTGGTTATTTTGAATGGCAATATGTGTACTGGATGAAAATATTGCCTCTAAAGCAGCATTACTACATACTCTTCTTCAAATGACGACTGTCAAGGGATCTTTTACAAGCACTCAATCTCACACACATTAGACACTAACTGGCTTGAAAAAGTTCGGACAGTTCTTTTCAGGTTGTGTCAGAACACAGAAGAGAGAGGGAGGGAAATGGGGTTTAATGTCCACTCGACACAAACTAGGTCATTTCGGTACTAAAATATGGTTTAACTTCATTTCAATAATTTGTTTGCGTGTAAGGGTCTGTAGCAGTGGGAGGAAACCGTAGTACCCAGAGAAAACCCATGCGGTTGGACAGGCGACCCTACTCTTTGTCACGTACAACTGGGGAATCGAAACCACGCCAGTTGACTCAATTACAGACCGCATGATAAAGTGTGCACGTGCTAACCATTCAGCCATCCACACACCCCCCACCCCCAAACATAGAAGAGAGAGAGGGAAATGGTGATTATATTTAATGTCCACTAAACACAAATTAATTCATTGCGGGACTAACACATGGAATATCTTTATTTAAATAATTTGCTTGTTTGTAAGGGTCTTTAGCAGTGGAAATAAAATGGGGACCCAGAGAAAACCCATGTGGTTAGACATGCGATTCTACACCTCGAAACCAAGCCACATGACTCAATGACATACCTTGTGATCTAAAGCTCCATTCGGAAAAAACAAATGTTTACCTGAACTGATAGTTTACCATCTTTATCAGGTAAAATTCTGTATTGATGAACTCTCGACTGATATCTAAAATTCAAAAATAAAATTGATAAATTAAAGAGTACTTGACATATTACAACAAAGACAGATGTTTCTCCTCACACACAGGAAATAAAATGAAATAAAATGAAATGAAATGAAATGGGGTTTAACATCCTTGTGTTCTGTTCTGAAGACGAACATACGCCATACAGTGTGCTATGGGGAAATTTTGCTCGGACAGCGGCACTACGGCCTACTCTTATATCGAATTCCAACTGTCAAGGGATCTTTTACGTGCATGCCAATGTGTACACGGGACCTCGGTTTTTCGTCCCATCTGAATGACTAGACAGCTGTTCTTGTCAGGCCCTCCATCCTGCTGAATGACTAGACAGCTGTACTTGTCAGGCCCTCCATCCTGCTGAATGACTAGACAGCTGTACTTGTCAGGCCCTCCATCCTGCATCACTGACAAGGGGGAACCACGCCGGAAAATCTGGATGAACTTTCTCTGCCAATAACGAAAATTAGACTTTCACTTCTGGCATTACTGATTGTGTTGCTCAATAAATATGGATTCCTATTGTTGGGAAACTAGATCCGGTTTGTAGCCTGGTACTTTTGACACGAGAGAGAGAGAGAGAGAGAGACAGAGAGATGGGGTTTAACCTACAACCCAGGGAATTGAAAAAACGCCAGTTGACTCAATGACAGACCTAATGATACAAATGGAATGAAATGAAATGAAATGGAGTTTAACGACCTACTTTTCTGCTCCTAACCTGGGCTAATGAAGACGGGCATACGCCATACAGTGTGCTATGAGGGAAATTTTGCCCGGACAGCGGCACTACGGCCTACTCTTATATTGAATTCCAAATATAAAAGGGATCTTTTACGTGCACCCTCATGATACAACGCACATGCGATAACCATTCGACCATCCACCCCCACTTAGTGACTACTTCCGCATGAATCTAGATGATGCAATTATAGTTTCAGCAGTATGGTACTAATCATTGTGTTATATTGTAAAATACTGTTTGAATTTTAACTTATATCAACTGAATTACCACCAAATTGCTTAAAATCTATGATCATAATTTGGGGGATTTTTAATCCATTGAAAACTACAAGGTGAAAGTTGAATCTCTAAACGAGAGATAGAGAAATGGGGTTTAACGTCCCCTCGACACAAACTAGGTCATTTCAGGACTAACATATGGTTTAATTCCATTACAATAATTCGCTTGCCCGTAGGGGTCTTTAGCAGTGGGAGGAAACTGGAGGACCCAGAGAAAACCCATGAGGTTGGACATGTGACCCTACTCCTTGTCACGTACAACGGGGGATTCGAAACCACGCCAGTCGACTCAATGACAGACTTTATGATACAGCGCACGCACGCTAACCATTCAGCCATCCATCCCCCTGAATCTCTAAAAAGAACATGAGTTCAAAAATGGTTCAATTCCCTTCAGCATTTACAGAAATATGATGAATTGATCATTTTTAATTTGGTTCAGTATTTACAAAGAAGGGGATATCCAGAGAAGGGAGCAGGGCGTTGGTGGTTTTCAACCTCTCCCCCCCACCCGCTCAGCTACATCAAATTTTTTTCATAAAACAACACTTTTATGAGAAAAAGGTTGTGTGCTTTATCCTTTATCATCATATGGTGGGATGGGATGGGCATTCAAAGTGTGAGATAATGATATAGACATATGTGATATCACAATTAATGCTTTGCAAAAATGAAATTGAATTACAATTTGATCCTATTAATTCATAATAAAAATTGACGTCAAACAGGGTGTTGGATTTCTCTCTTTAAAAAGCTCAGTGTGTATGCATGTCAACTGCAAAAATTCCTGGGTCTGCCCCTTCAAAGAGATGACGACCTGAAAATTTGTCAACATTAGGAATCCTCGGCCAATGATAAAACAGGGTTAAGGTCAAAACAAGCCAGCACCATCATCTATAATTTGCTCAAATCTTTTGATAGATTTCTTAATAAGTATTTTTACTTAATTAAATGTTACATAATCAATCTATGTTAAATAATCAATCCATGTTAATCCATGTTAAACAATCCATGTTAAATAACCAAACCCGAGAAGATTTTACCATGGAATAAATCATGAAAAATCAATTACTGTTCGAAAAATGCAAATGTCAATCAGCGGCTTTCATTTCCAGTCAAACCTGATTTTTTAATCTAGCCATCTTGAACAGTCACTGATTCAGTCAGTGTTAGGCTGAGAAATTAGACCAAGAACTCAGATATTTAAATTAATGAAACTTAAAATGTCTGGACCTTTAAAAGTGTTGATTTAATTAACCTTGATGTCTTGATTCCTTTAGAGAAGTCGAAGTCAGTATCTGACTTTATTTATTTAAAACTTGTTTTGACACAGCTTCATGGCCAAATCACTTGCGTTTCCAATGAAAGGTTTTGTTCTTTCACTAACGTAGCCTTTATATTCAAGATATCTAACAGACTATCCAGCTTGAACGGTCAGCTCTTCGTCTAAATCTTACATAATGCTCCTTTAATATAAGCCTACTTGACTCCTATTTTGTGTGAGAGAGAAAGAGAGAGAGAGAGAGAAAGGCGCTTGCTAACGAAACAGGAGGGCATGGGTGCGATCTTGGTATTAGCCGAGGAAGTTCCTTTGCATTTTTCCAGCGTGGTTTCGTTTTGTCAGAGGTGCATAATGGAGGCACGAGAGAGAGAGAGAAATTGGGTTAAACGTCCACTCGACACAAACTAGGTCATTTCGGGACTAACATATGGTTTAATTTTATTTCAATAATTCGCTTGCGCGTAGGGGTCTCTAGCAGTGGGAGGAAACCTGAGGACCCGAAGAAAACCCACGAGGTTGGACAGGCGTCGCTACTCCTTGTCACGTACAACCGGGGATTCGAAGCCACGCCAGTTGACTCAATGACAGGCCTTATGATACAGCACGCACGTGCTAACCATTTGGTCATCCACCCCCCTCGTGTTTTGTATCCTATTCTTTATTCCTTTAAATTGTACAATATTTTTTAAATAAATACTCGTTTAAACCATATAACCTATAAAGCAGGAATTTCATTTTAAAAATTTGGCAGCCAGCAATTTTTGACATATTTTATTTACTTTAGATTAGCAAAATTTGTAGCCTAATCCCAATTTTATTTTTATATGCTTTAAAGTATTTTTACAATTTAACTTTTTTAAATTGTGTTTTAAGATTAAATTATTTGAAATTGAAATCTTGTTACAGGTATGTCCTCGATCCAGTTGGACAATTTCACTGCCAGTCAGTCCTGATTGACAAATATGATTGATTCAAGAGCCCTGGCCACAAGTTCACAAAGCATTTTCAGACTTAAGTTAAGAATTTACTTAACTTTCAATCACTGTTTATGAGACATATCTTTGATACAGAAACAGAAAACTTTACACATAGTTTGTTATTGATGTATCTGATACATTAAAACAATAATAATTTTATAAATGGTTGTATAAATTTTAGTTTAAATTAGGCAAACGATTTTGAGTAAATTCTTAACTTAAACATACATTATGCAAGAGCTAAATCTACCAATTGCAGGTCTTTCTTTAGGCCTGAAACGTTATCTAAATTAATTATTAGACATTAACCTATACAGACCATAATCAATTCTAAATGGCATCGCTAGCCTCTGATCTTTAGTGGATTGTGAGCCAATTTACTGCATAACTTTCCTTCACGATTTAACGATTATATGGATAATCGAGACTATGCTGTTTATCGTACTGACTTTAGTAATGATGATCAAGGCTAGTCGGAAATTCAATCGCTTTGTTCTCGGTTCATAGTGGATCAATTTGAATGAAATTTTCAGCAAATTGCCTTTACATTACCTAGTTTTTAACTATTATAGTGAGAACTGCCAACTCGTTATCAAATTTCCCATAAGGCATCTTTAAGTCTAAGTCTAATGAAATAGTACCTGACATTTTCAACTTCGCCTGACATGTACTAATAATATCAATAAAAAACACAAATCAATGACGGACAAAATGACAGGCACCAGAGGTTTTGTGCCGGACAAAACCTGATCTGTGCCTGACATTGTCTGTGACAGGTGCCTTATTTGCAGGCTTGCAGTGGTCTGGAGTGTTGTTTATCTGTTGGTTTAATAAGCTTCCCGAACATCAATCAAACTGACCACCGGAGTCTTTAATTACCAATCACATCAAACATACGATATTGGAAGCAGATTGACTGAACTAATTGTGTTACCACCACAGTTATACCATTACCATAATACCAAGTGTCAAGAGTTCACTATTGTTCGCCATGGAACCAGGTTATTATACCCTAATAAACATGTTAATTGTACATCTGTGGTCAGTCTCATTCACTATTTAAATAAACCGATGTCACGGAAATCAAACCATCTTATTAGCCACTAACAAACGTATTAGGGATAAGATAATAATATGGAGATGAATTGAAGTGAAATGGAATTTAACATCCTATATTTCTGCATCAACCAAGCCAATGAGAGGGAGAGAGGGAGAGAGAGAGAGAGAGAGAGAGAGGTCATTTGGGGACTAACATATAGTGGGCTTAACGTCCACTAGACACAAACTTCAATTTTATTTCAATAATTCGCTTGCGCATAGGGGTCTTTAGCAGTGGGAGGAAACTGGATGACATGGAGAAAACCATGGACTAACATATGGTTCAATTTTATTTCAATAATTCGCTTGCGCGTAGGGGTCTTTAGCAGTGGGATGAAATCGAAGGACCTAGGGAAAACCCACGAGGTTAGACAGGCGACCCTACTCCTTGTCAAGTATAACAAGGGAATCGAAACCTTGCCAGTTGACTCAATGACAGACCTTATGATACAACCCGCACGCGCTAACCTTTCGGCCATCTAACCCCCGGTTCAAGTAGGTGTATTGCCACAACATAATAAATAAAATACCCCCCAAAAAGCAACCAATATACATCTTCTTTAAATATGCAAGAGTTGCCACTGAAAATGATAAACTTACAGTAAACATAGGACATATGCCCCCGGTAGGGACTCACTGTCCCGCACCAAAAAACTCCCATCATCCTTCGCTGCAAGTAATAGCTCCTCTGTTTGTAGTCGAGATATACCTTTATGAAAGAACTGTGCACACATCCTAATATGGATGTTCCTTAATGTTACGGAACCATTGCTTCTGTAAAAGACAAAAGAACAAAATAAAATTAGGTTGCCAGTCAATGAAACATGTGTTCACCAGCAGCCAAGTTTATCAAGCAGTTATAAGGGAAACAACTCATAACATTTTTAAAAAGGTTGGGTCATAATAATAGCCTATTCCTTGTCACATACAACCAGGGAATCGAAACCATGCCAGTTGATTCAATGACAAACTTTATGATACAATGCCAACCATTTGACCATCCAACCCCACATCTCATGTTATCGAGTCCACATAGTTGAAAGTTTTTACAAGTACCGGTAAGTAAAATTTAATATTTATATTAGCAAGTGCTAACCATTTGGCCATCCAACCTCCGAATCTACCTTTTCTAGCCATACTATTACGTCCACAAGGTGCCTCGTCATCCTGGCCATTTGGCCACCCAAGCACGCTTTTAATTAAGCCTACAGGTGTATGTTGGTGTACAATAATATCTCTGTTTTCCCTGTACGTGTTTCTGTGGCTTTACGCTGGCCAAAAAATTTGGTCTAATGCAATTATAATGTGACCATTTCCCTGTAACTGGTGAAAATGCATACATGGGAAACAGTCCTTACAGTTACATGTCTCACAACTGCATATCAATGAACTTTCCCTATTCTATCCATCATTCTAAGAGCCATGGTAGCTAAGCAAGACGCTGGGTCGCTAGTCTGGAGGTTGCGGGTTCGATCCCCACAGTGGCGGAGAAAGTTCATCAGGATTTTCTGACGTTGTTTCCCCTTGTCAGTGGTGCAGGACGGAAGGTCTGGCAAGTACAGCTGGCTAGTCATTCAGTAGGAAGAAAAACCAAGGCCTCATGTATATATTGATACAAGTAAAAGATCCCTTAGAGAGAGAGAGAGAGAAATGGGGTTTAATGTCCACTCGACACAAACTAGGTCATTTCGGGACTAACACATGGTTTAATTTTATTTCAATAACTCGGTTGCGCGTAGGGGTCTTTAGCAGTGGGAGGAAACCGGAGGACCCGGAGAAAACCCACGAGGTTGGACAGGCGACCCTACTCCTTGCCACGTACAACCTGGGATTCGAAACCACGCCAGTTGACTCAATGACAGACTTTATGATACAGCGCGCGCACGCTAACCATTCAGCCATCCAACCCCCAGATCCCTTAGAAGTTGGAATTCGATATAAGAGGAGGCCATAGTGCCGCTGCCTGGGCTAAATTTCCCTCATAGCACACTGTATGGCGTATGTCTGCCTTCATTAGCCAATAGCAGTAAGACGTTAATCCACATTTTATTTCAATTTTCTATCCATCATTCTATAACGTATCAATTGGTAATATAAAATCCTATCTTGTTTTTTCTTACTCAACGACTGCTCACACCAAGAAGACACAATGATCTACTCAGATAAACTATCGAGATTACGATAAAATATTTGTTATCTATGAATTGTTCTCCTGTTTACATTGGTGACCAAGAAGCTGATTGATAAATCACACTCAGTGATTGATAAACCATGATATAACACTTACTGGTAGCTACTTCTTTATCAGATTTGATTGTCTAGATAATGTAGATACAGAGAGAGAGAGAGAGAGAGAGAGAGAGAGGAGGAGTTTAAGTCCACTTGACACAAACTAGGTCATTTCGAGATTAACATATGGTTTAATTTTATTTCAATAATTCGCTGGTGATTAGGGGTCTTTAGCAGTGGTAGGCAACCGGAGGACCCAGAGACAACCCACAAGGTTGGACAGGTGACATTACACCTTGTCATGTTCAAGTGGGGAATCAAAACCACGCTACTTGACAGAATGTGACAGACCTTGTCATGTTCAAGCGCTAGCGTTAAACCACTAGACCACCCAACCTCCTGATTGAAATGAGAGAGAGAGAGAAATGGGGTTTAACGTCCACTCGACACAAACTAGGTCATTTCGGGACTAACATATGGTTTAATTTTATTTCAATAATTCGCTTGCGCATAGGGGTCTTTAGCAGTGGGAGGAAACCGGAGGACCCGGAGAAAACCCACGAGGTTGGACAGGCGACCCTACTCCTTGTCACGTACAACTAGAGATTCGAAACCACGCCAGTCGACTCAATGACAGACTTTATGATACAGCGCGCCGTCGATTTAGGACTTAAAATGGCAGTCAACTAGCTTAGTGTCTGTTCTCAAGAGGAGCCAACTGTAGACAGACAGCCTAAGTTTAGTATGCTGCTTCTAATCATATTGGGTCCTGTACGAAGATGATATGATGTTTACACTGTGTTTCTGTACATGATTTAAATGATTATTCAGTATTCGTACACAGATTCAAGCCAGTGAATTTCTGATTCGGGAGCATATAAATTTAAATAATACCATCAGGCCTGGAAATAACGGTCTTAGATGTACCTGACAAAATAGTACCTGACATTTTTATCTTAGTGTCGGACATGTATTAATAATATCAATAAAAAAGACAAATCAGTGCGAAACAAAATGATAGGCAATAGAGGTTTAGTGCCTGATAAAGCCTGAATCTGTGCCTGACATTGTCTGTGACAGGTGCCTTATTACCATAAAATGGAATCGGAGTATGAGTTATGCAAATTAACTAAAAGAAACTGAAAATAATTTACGAAACCTGAAACTTTTCCCAGCCTTATTCAAACCTTCCACGGTCACAAATTTCTTCATGATAATAATTCACACATTAAATTCCTTTACCACAAAATGTTCAAACTGATCCAAATTAATAACTTTTTCTTCTGAGTTTGAACTTAAGATTTTCCATGTGACGATTACACATTATGACAGCACTATTGAAAAAAATAATTCCTTTGCTGATTTTATACACTTTTGTCTTTTTATTCCAGAAATATTAAGTCACAATTTTTAAATTTCAATGAACAAATCATCCAAATCAAACTTGATCCAAAAAGTCAAATATCGAATCCCATTTAAAATAAACACAGAAGTCGATCATATAAAATGGTCCATTCTTTTTTATAAATTGCTCACATATTTAATTTAATTAAAATATGTTTAACAGTATTCACGTAGCTAGCTCGTACTGAAAATATCTGCTACTTAAAATTCTTCAATTAGGAATTATGATATGCATACTGCATTGTATCAAATAACATTGAACCACGATTAACTTTTCGTTAATTAACAATGATTTCAATACTGCACAACAAAAAGCTGTATCATGTTTTTGTTTATAAAAGTGTATCCATTTATCAAATAACATTGAACTATGATTAACTTTCGTTAATTAACGATCTGGACGCAACACGTCTTTTAAAATATATTTCCGGGATGTCAGATAAATGATTTCAAAACTGCACAACAAAAAGCTGCATCATGTTTTAGTTTAAATAAGTGCATCGATTTATCACTATTTTCAAGATAAGCACCATTTTCCTTGTTTTCAGAATGTACAAATACTGGCAAGTAAATATTTGATATATCACATTTTAGACCATTTCATAATTAATTTCCCTGATTGTGTGACTGGTAACATAAATATATAAACATACAATACAGATTTTCCTCGACCATAGATATTCAGATATCTTCTTCAACCACAAATTATCACCGACACAAGATATTCATTCACGTTAAATATAATACAACAAAAAATCTATTCCTTGTTTTAATCACACAGTTTCCCTGCCTCATGAGATAAAATAACAATATTAATCGCATAAAATCTGATGAGAATTGAAACATCAACTAAAATCTGCCATTGTTTTCCGACAATATAGTTCCTATATACACAATGTGATAATTATTAACACAATCAAATCTCTTGACTTTGTGGACTCATCCTACTGACATACATATTCCATTTCCTGAACAGACTAAAAGTAGAAGCACTTCAAATAGAAGTTATCAACATCTGTAGTAGTTAAACAGAATTCAATCTTTATAATAGATCCTTTCTTTAGTACGGTACCAGCATTATAACAATTGCTGTCTCCAAAATTTATGATTTTTTGTCCCCGCTACAAAAAAACAACAGAAATTTGTGGTGTTTCTGATATTGGATGACAGAGGAGCTGCAGAAGCTGGAAGGGATGAAGTGGGTGGGTGGTGCAATGCTTCAAACCAAATATAAACGATCTACTGTTTCAGTTGACAAAAGAGCATTATTGTCAAAACACTCCTTCATTTGTCTTCTGGAGCTTTTGGTCAACCATAATCTTGTGATTAAAAGCAATCCATTCATCCGCCTTCACATATTAGACAAAAAAAATCATTGGCCTTAATATTTGCCAACCAAAGGAATATAACTTTCTATACATCATTTAAAACATTTATATCCAACAATATTTTATCAGAAGACGCTGTATTGTAACTTGTATTGTCGATGCAATAAAAACCAAGTTGAACTATTTCTAAACATTGGCCTTAATATTTGCCAACCAAAGGAATATTACTTTCTATACATCATTTTAAAACATTTTTATCAAATAATATTTTATCAGAAGACGTTGTCTAAATCGCTGTATTGTATGATGGATTGTTGAACTATTTATAAACCTATGACATGAAGACAACAAATACAGAATGTTTTTCACAGAATTTCTTCTTTTTTTTTTGATTTCTTTGATTGTTCGTCTGATCTTATACAAGCCTAGAAATCTACATCACTTCACACTTGTGATTTTGTATTTCAAATGGAATGAGATTTTACGTCTTAACATCACTCAATCTCTTGGGACATTTCAAACATTAACAAAACACTTTATTTTGTCGTGTGAGAAAAGTACTTATCCACTTCACTAATATTTATTCTGCTCGCAATGATTCTTTATTTATGTTGTGGAAATATTTTCACAATTCCAGAAATCCAGACACGTATGACCATGGATAGGTGTTCACATATACCAACCATTTACACAAATTTGATCAAAACTTTAAGAATTTAAAAATCTAGTCACAACATTAAACAATTTGATTTCCAGATCTTAGAAGATTAATCTACCACATTTTCCAGATGTTCATTTTAAATTTGGATGTTT